GGACAGCAAGGCTGGCATTGCTGCACACAGCTGTCACTGTTAAGCTGCCTCTCTCAAGAGGTGGCAGCTGAGGGAGAGAGAGAGGGAGGATGGAAGGAAAAAAATAGGTTGTCAGATTCCTCATGAATCTGAGAATGGTGTTTGAGCATAATGGAGGATGGTGTTGAACATCCCATTTTAAGGGCTGCTCCCTTCTATAAATCTCTCTTGTCAGTAGGGAAAGGAGAGGTTTTGCAGTACCCTGATAGCAGAGAGGATGTCAACTGCTGCTGGGGAACTTCTGATGGAGACCTGGGACTGTTTTCTCCTGTAGGTGCATAGCAGTTAACCCTGGAGAATTTACTGCTGAGTGTGGCTGGTGGCCCCAACCTTCTGGTCTCTGGCCTTTCACTCAGAATTCTTGCTGGGCTGTGGAGATTATGATTGAAAATAAATCACATGGACTAAATGTGTGGTCTCTGTTGGGAATGACTTTGTGTAATTGTTTGGATGTCTCAGGGCTGCAGGTGGGTGATCAAGCAATTTGGATAGTGCTTGAATCCTAAGTGTGGGGCTCATTGGAGGCTCTCATTGTGGATATGGACAAGCACTTTCATCCAATGTTCAGGGGATTAGCAGTGACAAATGCTACTTTGAGCTCCTGGGCTGTGACATCCCAACCCACCAGGATCTGAAAGCCTCAATGTGTTCTTAAGCCCTGGTACAGGGGTGTCTCGTGATGCTTTCACACCTTGCAGGGAGGGTTTTGCAGGCTGAGTGAGCTGGTGTGGTGCAGCAAGTGAGATCTACAGCTGTGTGAACTGGTTACATGAAGGAAGCTGCCACCTGGAAGGATACAGCTGCTTTTAACCAGAGTATCAGACTTCAGCTGGGTGCAGCACCATATAACTGTCTGATCTCTAGCCCTGTTTTGTGAAACCCTGCCAACTTGGCTATTTCTGGAAGATGTTCCCCTTCAAGTACCAGCAAATCACAAGTATCAGAGCACTTGCCAGAGATGGAGGGTTATGATCATCTCTCCTGCTCATGTGTCCCACAGCAGTGCCCCATCAGCACTGATAAACTTCTCCCCAGAGTGGTTTGGCTGCCAGCAATGAACATCACCAGGTCCATGGTGCACTGACTGAGATGCAGGCCAGGAACTGAGGCTACTTAACAACAAAAAGCCCTTTTAAAACAGAATTTTACTCTGTTGGTTTTGTTTGTTTTTTTAACACAGGTTTTCTCCCTAGTTAAGTGAAAAATATTTATCATGAAATTCAGCTGAAATTCTCCGAAATTTATCTGCTACATTCGCAACCCAAGTATTGCAACAGCAGGAACCCGAGAACGCAACTGATTTGTCATTACAAGAGTTGAGAGAAGCAGAAACAGCAAATAGCACTACAAAAATGACAAGCAAAAATATGATTATTATTCTTTCAGTCTTAGTCATGTAAAGAGCAAGCAGAAGCATAGGCAAGGCAATTTCCCTTAGATGTGACTTATGTTGATGGTGCTCTCCTATGAAATGTCTCTAATTTAACTCCTCCTTCTAACAAGATGTGGTCACTGGTGTTACTTGTTACAGCACTGTGTCCTGTCAGCCCAGTATTTCACATGGTGCCACTGGGGACAGTTTTATTTCAAATGAACAAATAAATTAAGCTCATTTCTGGTCTGGGATAGCTCTAATGTGCACAATCTACTATGTTCACAGCCTCAAACAAAATTACTGCTAAGGCAGCCTGCAGGTAAAGGGCCAAAGTAACTTCAGTTAGTCAGGAAAGAAATTAATTGGAATGAAAGTCCTTGATCACATCATCACAGTGCTGCTGGGCTCTGAGAGAGATATCTGAACACTCTGCTGGGAACCTGTTCCCTGCAGACACCCACATCTGCAATTAAAAAGGGTTAATGCTCATTCTGTGAATCTTCCTCAGCACTTACTGCTTCAGCATGAATTTTTTTTTCACTTTTCTTTCTGGAAGCCAAAGAGATTTTTTTTTTCTTTTAGTATCATCAAGAACAGGAATAGAAACTTTGCAACAAGCTCAGAATGTTCTTTGGCTCAGCACATGGGAAAGAGATTTAGGGTTGGATTTCCTATTGCTTCACACTCACTCCTGCCTGCTAGCAGGGTAATGATTTTGTGGGCAGGCATTTTTCTTAATGAGCCATTGGCAAAACTGCCTATTTCTCCCTAATTTACTGTTATATCTCTTCAGCTGGGTTCTGGAGGTAAACACTTCACCTTCCCTCACTGCCAGCTGCCAGCAAGGCTCTGAACTCGAGTTCATCTTCTGAAAGACTCACTTTGCATTGTGAACAGGGAGAGCAGGGGGTGAAGATGTTCATCACTTTCTGAGGGGTTTTATTACACTGTTTGGGATGGATGGTCTGGTTCCATGATTTTCTTGGCAACTGATCATAATCCTCTAACCTTCATTGTGATTAAATGATGAATATCCAGAAGCAGAGCAAAGTAAGGAGGCAGGTTGCCCCTTCAGAGTGGGAAAACAAGGCAGCATGGGGCTGCCAAGGGACTGGAGCCCGTGCTGGAGCCAGGACTTGCACAAGAGCTCTCTGTCAGAGGTCCTTGTGCACTGTGCCTCCCACTCGTGCTGCTGCTGGAGCCTCTGTTCCCAGCAGCTGGTCCTGCAGCACTTTGTCATTGACTACACAACCCCAGATATTAATAGCAAAGAGATGTCCCCTGCTTTCAGCTGTTCAGCTGTGTCCCTGCTTGTCTGGGAGCTGATTCCTGCATGCAGCTGGGGTATTGTCATTGCTCAGGTACTTCAGTCCACCAGTTTGATGCTGCAGGCTGACAGGGAAGGAGCAGCATGGTGACCTGGGCTGGAATGACAGGCCTGTCAGCAGAGGGGGAGATCTGGGTGTTCTGTGAATGAGAACATCATGGCAAGCTCACATTTAGGTACAGAATTCATCCAGTGTATCCTGCTGGGTCCTGAAGCTGTTGGCACAGGAGGGGAATGCACATCTTCACTGGGGATCAAGAATGGGTGTGTGAGCTCTTGTGGCATTAGGAGACCAAAAGGACCAAATGTTTTCCAAATATGACTCTCTGCAGTCACTGTGGTGACTGTTTATGGGGCACTTTCCTGAAGCTAATTGTGTATTTTACTGATGGGAAGCAGTACTTGGAATCTCCATACCTGGAGTAGCTGACACACACTGTTCCTTTTGCCATGCACAGCTCAGTGTGTCCAGCATCATCTCTGGCTGTGGATTCTAACTAACAACACATGAGCAGAGCTTCACCTGAAAGTGAAACATCACCTCATCTCTACAGGCAGGAAGAGGAAGGTGCTGTGTAACCTGTTAATGCTTTCATTGTGGCTGCTGTGTCCTAGGAAGAAACAAATGAAGCACCTTTCCAGGGATCTGGCTGCACAGCAGGGTGTGGTGCTGATCCTAAGCTTGGGGTGGGAGACGCCCTCATGGATGAAGTTCACTCTCCTCTTGTGTTGGGCAGCAGCAGCTCCGACTTCTCTCTGGACACCACTGGCTCAGCACAAGGCACTGGCTCTCCCTGCTGAGAGTTTGGAAGCTGCAGTGGGCTGGAATGAGGCATTTTAGCTGACACAGGGATGCTTGGCTGCTCAGCTGGCCCTCTGCACTGCAGAGCTTAGTTCTGTTCCATGTAAGAAAGCAAAGGGGCTAAACACATTCTGCACAGCAAAACAAAGCTTTTAGGGCAGGCAAGCACCTGATCCTCCTCCTGCTACTACTATGGAAACATGTCAGAGCAGAAAACCTGTTGCCATGAGACTGTAAAAATAACCCTGCCTCACATCATGGAGACACGGACTGGCTGCACCACATGGCTTATGTAAGAGCAGCTCCTGCACTGGGATGTGGCACTGTGAGCTGCCTCCTGCTCCCAGGAGACAGGCAGCCTTCTGAAAAAGCTGCAGGCAAGACAGTTGGGGTAGTAAGTCTGTTATTTTTAGTCTGTGTGTCTGAAATATCAGCCTGAAGTGGACAGAGGCACATTTAGGGTATGTAGTGTCAGGAGCAGAATTTTAAAAGTAGGACCAAGCAATGGTAGTTGGGTTTTTTGGTTTAAAGAAATCACACCTTGGTTTTAAGGGGTCAGATACAGGGTATTTTTTTGAACTCTGTGTAATTTGAAGCGTGTTTAGAACTGGCCAGGGCAGGAGAAGGCTTTGCTGAGTTGGAGAGTGATCAGGGAGCCAGGGAAATGGTGATGCTGTGTTTGGTGTTGTCATGGCTGGGAAAAAGGAAAGAGAGCAAGGGACCAGGCCCAGGAGCCAGGCCCAGCTCTGTTGCTCATGCAAGATTTGGCAGAACAGGTGAGCAGCCTCAGGGCTGGAGAAAGGACAACAACTATGTTTACAGTTCTGAAACTCTGCCCAGAAATATCTCTACAGAAGTTCAAAAAATTAAGGGCTTGGCTGGACACAGACACTTCCCTGTATGCAGAAAAACCCCAAATTCACTGTGTAGTCATGCACTAATTATCACTATTTTTTTTTTTTAAATCTTATGCTCTTGACCAAGTTAAGCACTTGGGGGAGCACAGAAAACAGTACATTTTAAAACCTCTGCAGAAACTACTACTGGTTACATCAATTGTCCTTTTACTACAAGACAAACTCAGTGACAATTCCTGCTCAGCTCTCCTCAGGCTGTTTTTTAAATATACCCAAATTTTATCCCTTCATCCAGTCCTGAAAGCCTCATTTCTGTCGTCTCCTGCCTTCCAACAGTGGAACATGTTTTCCCAGCAAGACTAAAAGGATGCTGCCTCCTCCTGCTCCTCCCTACACATCCTTAGAGATTCCTGACGTGCCTCAGATGTAAAGCTTTGCTTTGTTTGAATGCACAACTCCTCCTCTGTGCTTCAGGCATGTGGAGGATTCCCAACCCCTCCCACTCCTGTTCCCAACGTGACAAAGGAGCAGCTCTGAAGCCAAACCCCACAAGAGTTCACATAAACCCCCAACAAGGAACATACACATGGAGTTCAGGAATGTCCCACTGCTGTGATTTTAATGATCCCACTTCCAACCCAGCTGGGGGTTTTTACCCAGCACTGTGTCAAGGTCCAGCACAGAGCAGGAAAGAGTTTGTGGTCCAAAGAAACTGCAGAGTTGTAGCTGAGGAGCCAAACCATTCCCAGGGCCCTCACCTGGGTGGGCTCTGGACACACCAACATCCTGCAAGTCCCAGGGACTGTGGTTACTGAAACATGAGCCCCCAGTGACAGCCAAGCACGCTGTGACAATGGCACGGCCACCTCAGCCCTCCAGGATGCGGTTGATGAGCTTCATCTCCTCAGCAGACATGGGGTTCAGGTTAAACCCCTTCAGCTCAGGTTTACCTGTGAAAATACATTGAAAACATCAGGATTTTGTCACTAAAGTGAAGCAGCTCGTGGTAAACTCGAGAGGGGCTGTGGGGAGGGCAGGGACAGCCCTGGGAGCTGAAGTGGGGTCACCCCAGCCCAGGGTCAGAGGGGGTTCAGGTGCTGGTGGGTGACAGCTCCACACAGAGACAGACAAGGGTGCTGGGGCAGGCAGGGAACTGCAAAACCAGTGGAAAAGAGGCTGCAGGAACACATGGAACTGAGGAATCTCCTGATGCACGAGTCTGCTCCCAGGCAGGTTCCAGGGGAAGAGTTTACCTTGAGCTTCATAGAGCCGGTTGACCTTCACCCGCAGCTCTTTCCGGAGCTTGTTTATCTCCTCATCCAGCTCTTCCTGGTCTGGTATAAGAGTGGGAGTGAGGAGGACTGCGGTGGGCTCTGGGATGAAGGCTCAACTCCCCATGGGACACAGCACAGGCACAGGGGATCCCACCCTGCCTCCACCACCCCCGGGGCCGAGCAGCTTCCACATGTGCTTCCCAGGGCACAGCAGGGCCAGAATCAGCCTCTCCAGAGGCTCTGGGCACCTCAAAGCCCATGCCCGGACAGAAATCCATTAATTGAGCCAACATTTCGTTAATTATGGTGCTTATTAAAACACCGATAGCTACACGGAGCCCTCGCGGTGAGCTCACCCTGGCGCAGCATCTCCCGGGTCTTCGCCTTCGGCAGCTCGATGAACATGCCCCCGAAGCACACCATGGCCTTCTCTGGGGGACAGGGGGAACGGAGGGGCACGGAAGGGAACGGAAAGGAACGGAAAGGAACCGGCTGTCAGCGGAGCCGCTCCGCAACCGCGGCCACGAGGTCACGGTGGGCGCAGCCAGCCCGGCCTCACCGTCGGGCTCCGGGTCCTTCTGCAGCGCCCGCAGGGCCTCGCGGTTGCGATTCCGCTTCACGTCCAGGTCCACGATCTGCAACGGGAGCGAGAGAGGCAGGAGCGGCCGGGACTCGGGGATACCGGCGGCGGGACAGAGCGGGGCGGGGGAGGCTACCGAAGCTGGGTCGTACCTGCTGCCGTGCCGCCAGCACGTCCTCGGCCAGCTCCTCCACCTCGGCCAGGTAGCGCAGCACGAAGGCCGGATCCCGGGCCATGGCGGGGCCGCTCCGGGTCCGTCGCCGTTCGGCTCCGGGCCGCAGCCGCAGCCGCGCGGGCGGGTTCCGCGGCGGGAGGGGCCGGGCTCAGCGCGCCCTCTCGCGGCCGCCGCCGGGAGCGCCGCCCGGTTTGGGCGCCCCGGGGTGGCGGCGGCTCCGGGGCGGCGGGGACCGAGCGGGGCCGCGAACGCGGCGGGGACCGAGCAGGGCCGCGAACACACGTGGCCGGGGGCGCCAGAGCGGCCGTGAGCGGCCGTGGGCTGGGACGGACCTACCCAGTGCCAGCGTGGGGTCTCGTCCGTAGTGCGGAGTAACGATCCCGGGGCTGGCTCCGGGCCGCCTCGGCACCGGCCGGCAGGAGGATGGAGGGTGCGGTGCGGCCGTGTGGCGCTGAGCCACACAATGGGGTCCTGGCCCCGCAGCCGGTCCCCAACCCATCCTGCTCGCCACAGCCCTGAGGGACAGCGGCTGAGAGCCCTGCCTTGCCTGGTCCCCTTGTGTGTGAATTATTTATGGCTTTTCACAGCACCACCGTCTGTCTCCCCTTCCTCGCTGCTTCCCAGCACGGTCCCGCTGCTGGCAGCTGGGCCCTTGGAGCATCAGGTGACCTCTCTGTCATCCCAGAAAGCAATAAAGGGCACTCAAAGCGCGGGGCGATTAGCTCAGGTTTCCTTTGGTGCAGCTGGTGGCTCATTTGTAGCTCAGCGTCCAGGACCTGCCATCCCCAGGGACTGGAGCCAATTGTGGTCCCGGCAGCTCGGCTCACCCTCAGCCAGCCCCGGTGCCCCCCGGTCTGTGTGAGGCAGGAGCTGGTCCCGGGAAGGCTCTGGCAGGGGACCATATCCATCTGCTGCCCCGAATGACCCTGTCTGCAGGAAAGGAAATATATTGCCCCTCAAAATGGTTTTTATCCCTTTCTTTCTGCCCCACCCAGCCATGAGCAAGAGGGGCTGGGAAAACGGGGTGTGGGAGATGCAGGGAGACCCAGCTCTGATGATGAGGACTGGCAGATCTTCGCCGTGTGCACTCTGCAATGGGAAAGGGGCCCCAGGAGCCCACCCAGGGCTGGTGGGTAACAGGGGACACGGGTTCTCATGTCCCATGTCCCTGCTCTGGACAGAGCCCTGAAACAGCTTCTCAAGGTCCATCTTTGCCACCCTGGCTGTGCTGCTTACCTGGTGATGGTGGGGGGACTTCTGATCTGTTTTAGATCAGTGCTTTGAGAGGAGAGAGCCCCAAACCTGCCTGAAGCAGCAAACAGGGGCTGGGGAGAGGAGGAGCCCCAGCACTTGGGGACCCTGGCACATGCACTTCATTAAATTTGATAAGGAGCTCCCCAAAGGTGGTGACCCCACCACTGCAGCTCCTCTGGGCTGCCAGAAATGAGGACCACAGGGAACAGGGATGGAGGGAACAAGGCAGCAGCTGGCTGGTGGTCACCACACTTCTGTGGGCAAATAATCCCTTAAGGGAGATTACCCAGATCGGAAGATTACTGGCTGTAATCCCATAAGGTCATTTGTTTCAGTTAACTGAGATCCCTGTCTGTGGCAGCATCAAATGAAGTTCAGCAGCTTCAGGGAGCAGTGGGAGCCAGTGCTGGGGCACACACGGGCACTCCGGGCTGGGAATGATCCACACTCGGGTTAGATTCCTTCCTGACATCAACCAGAAAATATACTGAGATCGGGGCTGGATGCCAGTGCTGGGAAATGCTCATTTGTCAGTGGGAGCAGCTGACTGGAGATCTGAAAAAGCAGGAAGGAGGGAGGGAGGGCTTTCAGAGTCTGGGCAGGAGGGATGGGGATGGGGATGGGGATGGGGATGGGGATGGGGATGGGGATGGGGAGTGGATGGGATGGGGATGGGATGAGATGTGGCGTGAGAACAGGGATGGGAGCAGGCTGGCTGTGTCCTGGCAGCAGTGGAAGGCAGCAGTGACTCTGGGCTTGCCAATGACAGTGCAGTGCAGGCAGGGTTTTGCCAGGAATGTTGGGCTGCATGGAAGGGTGGGGGCTGCTCTCCCTGGCAAGGTGGGGCCCAGCTCAGCACAGCTGAGGGATCACTAAGCCATGGGCATCTGGAAAACATTCTCAGAGCAGTGAGAAGTGGCTGGTGCTGCTCTCTGCGGCCTGTCCCCAGCCACAAATCAGCATGGATTTCTCCTCCTGGAGCCAGCGCCAGGGACAGACATTCTGCCTGGAAGCTGGACTCAGACTGGAACCAGAGTCCATTTGGACCAGTTCCCCTGGGAACAGGGCAGTCAGAGGAAGCAGCCACATGCCTGCTGCCGGGAGCTGCTTTGCTTTGCAGTGTGTTTTGTGGAAAGAGCAGGTTTGGTTTCATCATGTTCCTTTTTCTTCCTTGCAGCCCTTTTCTGTATGCAGCCAGAAACCCTCCCTGCCTGCTGGCAGCTGCACAGGAAGCTTCAGGGATGTTTATAAGGGTTTTTTTCTCTCTTCTCCTTTCATGTGGCTGCTGGGGCCTGTTGTTAAGATAAATCAGACTTCAAACCACAGTCTCCATGTTCTCAGGCTGTGGATCTTTAACTGCTGCTTCAGAGGGGGTGTTTCAGGGTCAGGGGAGAAAGGTGGGTCTGTCTCTCCCTGATTTCCAAGTCCCCTCTCCCTGGCACTGTGCCCACCGTCATGGCAACGTGGTCTGTGCTCCATCACCCAGCCAAGTCAGAGAGCCCCCAGGGACCAAGCCCAAAGAGGTCTGGAGTGGCCAAATGTTGACAGGGGCTCTGGCCAGTGGACCCCATCCTTGGGAGGGGCCCTGCCCTGCCTGGTTGTTGATGAAAGGCTGCTTTCTTCAGGCTTTGGGATGCTGGGAGCATCCCCTCCCCCAGGCAGGCGTTTGTGGAGGGGATCTGTCAGGAGCATCTCAAGGTGAGGTGTTTCATTATCGATGCTAATACATACAGCACAGGGAGAGCCTTGCCGAGGGCCCGGCCACTCCCTTGTGCTGAGTAACATCTTCACCCCCTGGATTTCATCCAGGAATCCAGGCTTACCCCACCCCTGGTTTGTGCTGATCCCTCTGGCCACCCTGCAAGGCAGGATTTGGAAGTTAGCTGCGTTTCCTGGGATCGAACACGCTCCCCCTCTCAGTGTGCCACGGCGTGCTGACCGCGGGCCAGGCTCCAGCCAGGAGCAAGCAGCGCAGCAAGCTGAGCCTCGGGGCTGAGCCAGAGCCGGAGCCGGCCCCGCGGGCTGGGGGCTGGGGCTGTCTGCAGCAGGCAGCTGCCCGTGTGCAGCCACCGTCCCTGGAGAGCCGCCACAAAGGAGAGAAAGCCCTTTCCCCTTTCCCTTGCTGCCCTTTCCCTGCAGCCGTGCCGGGGATGCCGGCACAGCGCTGCCCCTCGAGTGAGCACACATCCCACATCCCGGGGTGCGGCCCCTCGCTCTGCCCGACACATTTGTGTCCAAACTCCCGAGGAAAACAAGCAGGAGAGGGGGAGTGGCAGCGCAAGGCAACATCTTGTGCGCCCAGCCTCCAGTGGCCTTGGTATTTCACTTTCAGGGACATTCCCAAGGCTGGAGAATAACATCTGTAACTCTTTCACGAGTTTCATTTCGGCAACAACAAAAGCCTGCTACCAAACCCCATAATTGGGGTTCTTCTCAAAGACGATACAGCTACTTTGAGCAGCCTGGTCTAGTGGAAGATGTCCCTGCTCTTGGCAAGGGGTTGGCACAAATTGATCTTTGGGGTTCCTTCTATTGATCTTTGAGGGTCCTTCAACCATCCTATGATGATTCTATGTCTCTCCCTCCAAAGCAGGGCTCATGTCGAGCCCAGCCAGTCCCTGCTGAGACCCTCTCTGGCTGCGCTGGGCAGGGTTTTGGTGGTCTGTGGTCCTGTCTTAGCCTAAGGGGAGAGGAGGCACCCACACCTCCACTCACCCGGACCTCAGGCCAAGCCTGGACTCATGGGCAGGGTCTTGCCTGGACCGAGCCTCGGGGCTGGAGAGCTGCGGGGGTACCCAGGAGCTTCCCGGGAAGCGCCGGTTCTTACTCGGTGGGCTGGGAAGGGGGAGAGGAGGAGAAAGGAGGGAGTGTGGACAGCGCGGTTCCGCCGGGACGGGGTGGGTGCACCGAGCAGGTCCGGGCGGTCCGTGCCGGCGGGGCCCGGGGCTGGGGGCCGGCCGGGGGAGGGGCCGCTTGCCCTTCCCAGCGCGGGGCGGCGCCCGGCGGCACCGAGCGCTCCTGCGGGACCCCGCGGCGCCGGCGGGGGGGCGGCTGCCCCTTCCGGCGGGGGAGCGGCGGGAGCCGCCGCGGGCTCCCGGCGCCGGGCGGGGGGAGCCGCTGTCGGCGGGCGCGGGGCGAGGCCGGCGGGGGCGGGCGCTGCCGGGGCGGGCTCCATCCCTCCGGAAGTCTCTCCCGCTCCCTCCTTTCTCCTCCTTTCCCCCGACAACATGGCCGCGAAGTCGGACGGCGGCGGCGGCGGCCCGGCCGTGCTGCTGGAGAGCCCCGAGGGCGGCGGCGGGCGGCGGGAGGCGGGCGCGGAGCCCCCGGCGCGGCGGTACCGGCTGCGGGACGGCTGCTGGGTGTTCTGCGCGCTCCTCGTCTGCTTCGCGGACGGTGCCTCGGACCTGTGGCTGGCGGCCCATTACTACGTGCGGGGGCAGCGCTGGTGGTTCGGGCTGACGCTGCTGTTCGTGCTGCTGCCCTCGCTCGTGGTGCAGATGCTCAGCCTCAGGTGGTTCGTCTACGACTTCGCCGCCAGCACCAAGGACAGCGGCGGCGGCACCAAGGACAGCGGCCCCCGCGGCTGCTGCCGCCTCTGCGTCTGGCTGCTGCAGGGCCTGATCCACCTGCTGCAGCTGGGGCAGGTCTGGAGGTACGGGGGTACCCGGGGAGTGGGGGTGCCCGGAGGGTGGGGGCACAGAGGGGATGGGGCGGCTGCAGGGCCTGATTCACCTGCTGCAGCTGGGGCAGGTGTGGCTGTGTGGGAGGTATGGGAGAACGGGGGGCGTGGGGGTATCGGGGTGATAGGGGTG